TGAAAGTGTGCTGTGAACTGTTGACCCTACTTATCTCCATTGTTTCTTTAAATCAGAATTGCCCTTTAAAAAAGAACTGGTTTAGCATAGGAAGGGGCTTTTCATAACTTGGAGGTTTACCAATTTTGTAAGCTTTATTTTAATTTTGAGCATATCATACTGTCAGAGGGTGGCTGGTCCCTTAAGGCCCTAATCCTACCGTTGACAAGCTTCACTCCTCTCTTCAGGATGTAGGTCATGTAACTGGTGGGTCAGGAGAGCCAATCAGACCTGCAGTAGATAAGGAAGAGGCTGGGAGAGCAAAGGGGCTGCAGGTGGATGTTAGCAGATGGAGAAGTACTCCTGCCGTGGGCGAAGACACCAGCTCAATATGTAACAGGGAGTGCACCTACCCTGTAGCACCACCTGTTGGCCAAGTGTGGCTCTGCAGCACTCTGCCTCTGTTTCCCCTTTACTCAGGTTCCTCAATAACTCTACAAAGGCTTGTATCCTATTCAGTGCCCCTTTTTGGGGGTCAGGTTTATTAACATAAAATAAACACAAAAATAAAGTTTTTCTGCCGCAGTCTCAGAGAGGGTCAGTCTTTTTAAAGTTCTTTTTTTTTTTCACCCATGTCCCACGCTGGGCATAACCCCTCCTTCTAGAGGGTCTGCCTTCTTTCTCTCCGAGCACTTCTTACCTGTCATTTGACCCTGTCTGCCTTCTCCACAGGCCTCCTTCCCCAGCAGAGTCTCTCCCGCTGACTCAGTGCCCGGCAGCAGCCTTATTACTCCCTGCAGCATCTACAAGCATCTACCAACACCCACATACAGCCCCTTCTCTCCCCAGCCTCTTCTTTATTTACCACAGGCCTGATTGGGTCCTCTGACCCACCAGCCATATGATGAGAGATAAGCTTGTCACAGGTGGACTGAGGCCCATCTCCCTTTAAGGGGCCACTACCTGTGACTCGTACATTCTAATTTGTGTAAGACTTAATATCCTAAATTAGATGTTGGTACTCTGAATGAGATAACAACCTTCCCACCTCACTGAAGAAAAATACTTCTGTGTATGAGACAGGACCTCTTACAAAAGTACCCGCTTGTAGCATGTTGTGTTGGATGCAGTATTCTCAAATGGAATGAATTCCCAGAGCCTGATTCCACAGCTGCTGCATGCAAGCAACTCCTATTGAAGGAAGTGCAAGCTGTTCCCATGCAACAGCTGAAGAAGTGGCCTTCCAGAGAATGCAGTATGCATGCCAATTCTTGGACTTTTGCAAGGGGCAGCTGTGTGGAGAAGATGGAATCCAGTTAAAAATACCCAAACCCAGTCTTCGTCTTTTATCTTAATCTTGGTTTTTTGTTTACAATTCAAAAGACTGTCAGTCAATCTGATGCTTGTGAAATCTCAGTAAGTAGCACAATGATTCTAGATCACTTGCTGCACCTGTGCTTTGACCAGAAAAAAATTGTGTTGATGATGCTCACCTTGCAACACAGCAGAGAAGGGCTGTATGCATGAGTCCTTTCACTGGATAAATTGATAGATCAGCATAGCAATAGGAACATGGGGTTTTAAGTGGAAAAAGAAAAGGCCCAGCAGACCACACATAACCTGATGAAACTATGACTGTCAAAAGTGTTGACTTATATTCATCCAAGGGATCATTAGTAAATTCAACGATGGCATTTTGAGTGCACATCAAAACTTGAATTCCCAGGCTGATATCTCTTGATTTAATTTTTTTAAGGAAAGGCTGAAACTATTACTCCTGAGGGCATTCTGTGCCAAAAAATTAAAAATCCTGCTACAAAAAAATAAATAAAAATTCTGCACACAGTATTTTAAAATTCTGCAAATTTTATTTGTCAAATAAATGTGGAGGCTCCAGCATGGCACTGAGGTACACAGGCCACTGGCTGCACAGAGGTGGGAGATCACTGTGCAGCTCCTCTTCCTCTCTCCCCCGGGGACACGGACTCAGTGGTGAGGACCCAACCCAAGGACCACGCCTACCCCAGAAACACCTCAGGGCCCTGCCTCTCCATGCCAGGTGCACCAGGTATGGGCAGGCAGGCTCAGCAAGGCAAGATCCAAGTGTGGAGAGACTTAGTGTGGGGGATCCACATGTGGGTTGAGAGGGTTTTGTGGGGGGGGATCCACATGTGGGGCAATCTGGGTGTGGAGTGGATGCACAGGGGCTTGTTGGGGGATTTTGTGTGCAATGGTAATGGGACTCTGCAGGGTGGTCTAGATGAATGAGTTGGGGCTCAGTAGGGGGCTGTCGGGGTGTGGGGGGTCCAGATGTTGGGGGAGTGGGACTCAGTGGGGTGGGGATCCAGGTACAACTGGTTGGGGCTCAGTGAGGTGGGGATCCGGGTGTGGGTGGCTCATTGGTGTGGTCCAGGTGCAGAGGGAGTGGGGCTCATCGGTGAGATTCTGAGTATGGGGGGCTGAGGCTCAGTGAGAGGGTCTGGGTATGAGGGGGTCTGGATGCACGGGGGTTGGGCAGATGGGGGAGCAGCTACCTGTTCAGGGATTCCACACCCTGCAGCTGAGGAGCAATGGTTGCAGGAAGTGGGGTGGTGGGAGGGAGGGAGTTTGCAGAGCTTCCTGCAGCTGTGGGAGAAATCTGGGGGTGGGTCTGGCCTGGCCCTGGATGCTGTGCAGGGGAAGAGGAAGTCCCATCCTCCCCAGTCCACACTACCAGCTGAGCCGGGCACAGGATAGGAACCACCACCTGGGTCTTCCCCAGTCCCGCCTCCTGCCCCACAGTGATTTACCTCTCTGATGGTTGCCCTGGGCACCTGAAACATACTGTTGAGGAGAGTCGCGTGACCGCTCTTGTGGCTTCCCTTTGTATCCCCGTAAGAAAGTAGTAGGACAAGAAGTAATGGGCTTAATCTGCAGCAAGGGAGATTTAGGTTCGATATTAAGAACTTTCTAACTGTAAGGGTAGTTAAACACTGGAATATGCTTCCCAGAGAGGTTGTAGAATCCCCATGCCTGGAGGTTTTTAAGCACAGGTTTGGTGAACATCTATCAGATTTAGGTTTACTAGGTCCTGCCTTGGCACAGGGGGCTGGACTTAATGACGTATCAAGGTCCCTTTCAGCCCTACATTTCAGTGATTCTATGAAGTAATACTGGCTGAGTGGGAATTATTTTGTAGTTTTAATTATTACATGAATCTCAGTTGGGTCAGTTGATGTTTTCAGATTTTCCCCATCATATTTATGTATTACTATTCTTTTTCCCCAGACATAATGTTGCCATTAAGCCACAGTCAGCTTCAGGAATTCAGAAATGTGGGAGAAACTTTATTTAATTTTGATAATGTTTTCCAGAGTTCTAAAGTGTTGCTAATGTTTGAAGGGAGATAACGAACTATAGCAGAGACAGTTGAGAAACTAAGATACTGCGAGAGCATGATGCTGCGGTACCCTCTATACTGTGACATTGTTGGGCTTTGATAGCAATGCATGGCTGTTTTTTTAAAAAGTTGCTTCTCTGCTGCTATATTTAGATAGACACTATTGTATGTTGTACTGCCTGCAAATATAACTTACGGCTCTTTGAAGAGTAGACTAACTGCACTGAGTGAGTCTGATTTGCAGTGTGCTTCAGCATGAAAAAAGAGAGCTTGATGGAAACGAAAGGTCATCTGTGAGAAAGGATGGGAGAATAAGGAAAGATAATTTGGCAGGGAAGAGTTTTATAGGGCGAGTAATAAAGGATGGAAAGAGGGGCTGAAGAGGAAATGAAGGTGGACAAAGACTAGAGGATGGATTGTACCGAAAGAGAAGGAAATGAAATTGATATGAAGGGTTGCCTGGAAGAAAGCATGACAAATTGCTCAGAAAGAAATGTGGAAGGCTGAGTTACTAAATAAGGCTTGTCAAAAGGGAAGAGACTTGTTGCTGGAGAAAAGGTGGATTGGAAGGGAGTAGAACTGATGGATGATTTTGAAAGAAAGAGGCAAGAAATAGTGTAGAGTTGGTCTTGGAGACTGAGGAAGGAGGAGTAATAATGAGTGGTCAGGGTCTGGAGGGTAGGAAGAGGAGACATGAAGCAATGTAAGGGGCATAGAGCATTCAGTGAGGAAGGGTTGTCTATGTAAGATTAGGTTTGGAAGGAGAGTGGTGAAGAAAGGGATGAACAGATACAGAGATGGACAGATTGTCTGAAAGGGGAAATCACCTGGATTGTAAACAATCTTTTGGCACCTAGATTGTAATCTCATATTTGTTTGTAAAATGCCATGCAGGTTCATGGGTGTTTTACAAATAATTAATTATAAATGAGGCTATCTGGTCAAAAAGGGAGGACTTAGAAAAACTGCTCCAATTTAGAACGAAACAGGGTTTTCCCATCAAATATCCCCATCTCTTCATTTATTATATGTAACCTTCATGATAATCCTTCTGACTTGCATGCTAAAGTCAATGGGAGAATGATAGGAAGAGATTTATTATTTTAAAAGCAACCATGACAGCAACATAAAACATTTGTCTGTCTATGGTACTTTTTTAGTCCCCCTAACTATATTATCTGAGTGCCTCACAATCTTTTATGTATTTATCCTTACACCATCCATAGGGTAGAGAAATGCTATTCTCTCAATTTTACAGGTGGAGTGCTGAATCACTGAGACTAAGTGACTTTCCCAGGGTTGCACAGGAAGTCTGTGGCAGGGCAGGGAGTCTCCTGAGCCCCAGGCTAGCACTCATGCCTTCACATATACTCCCTATCCTTTAGTCTTCACCATGATATAACCTGTGTGAGACCAGCTGAGACGTTAGTGTCGTGTGGTCTTATATGGTTTCTCAGCTGAGAAACAATGGAGTAAGGAATTGTCTCAAATACAGCAATACACTGCATCAGAACTATTGATTTAATTATATTTAGAGCTCTCTTTCTCCACAAAGCCCTCTAATAAGTGTCTATGGGACATGCTGAGAAACTGCAGTGTCAGTGCGTTTTGTAATAAGGTCATTTAATCTTTTTAATTACAGGTTCCATTACAGCTTATAGAAAGTGTTGAATGCCGAGATATATTTCAACTTCATTTGACTTGCAAAGACTGCAAAGTTATCAGGTATGTACAAACTACTTTGTAGGTGGAAGGGTTGCTTCATCCAGGAAAGTATGAAATCTAAGCAAGGTAACCTTGCACTTCTTCAAATTATGGATGGCTGCAGCATTTTAGGGGAAATGGCCCCTCTCTTCCAACCCCTGCCCCCGCTTTTTGTGCACATGCTTTCTCCAAAAGATTCCTTCTGTTCTTGCTGTGTACTGTAGCTGAACATTTTAGGAAGGAGGATGGTGGTTACTGCGTCTGCATTCTTGTAGTACAATATATTTTTTAGAAATCTTTACTATGCTGGAAATTGATCAGCCAAATAGCTTTGGACGTAGAGATGTTCTAGCCCTATGGAGCAATACATTTTTTAAGATTATTTTGAAATTAATTTCAGTTTCATGTGGTTTTCCCCAGTGTAACAATGGTCTCACCAAAATACAAAACTAGACACAAATCAATAAATCATACAGCTTCTTAGACCGACGCCGGGTGAGTAAAAATTAGAAAGGCGCCTAAGTTAGGTGCTCTTCTTTAGGGTGCGGGGCCCTCTTAGGCGTGGGACCCGATTCAGGGGAATTGGCCTAAAGCCAGCCCTGAGCGGAATAGCACCAGCTCCCCACGTGTTGGACTCAGAAAATGTAACATGCCAACTGCTTCCTGGGCCATAGCATTGTGTTGAGGACTGGTTTGATTTAGTAGATCATAGTTGGTTGTTCAGCTTGAGTTATATATTTAACTTTCTCTTTAACCTGTAGCTCTTAATGTTTTCAGATTTAGCTTTTCTCTCTAGATCGCATGTATTTGACTTTTCTCTCAGTTGTAGAGTCAATACTAGCTATTTAGTCTGCATTAGGAAAATTGGTTTCACTCTCCCTACAAAATTCCCTTCAGAAACGATAGCTTCAAAAATCTTGCTATATTTTATTTTCTTTCCTTGGACTGTTTTTGGAAAGGCTTCAAAACAAAGTTCTGAAATATGCTTTCATGCACTGAGCCAGTAGAAGGCAGTGTGCTCTAGACCTGATGTACCAAATGCATGCAGGGTTAAAAAAGGGAAAGGTTTAAAACATGCAAACTATATTTTTCATGGGAAAAATACAGTCTTTTCATTTGTAATTATAATGTTGAAATGAAACTAGTGATGGGGTGATTAGTACCAATTTTATATGAATGTTTCTACAGAGTGCAGGACTCAGAATCTGCAAAGTCAAGACCTTAATTAATTTAGGGGACACAACTGCTGTCTTTAACCATCAGTGCAACCGGAGTATTATCTGGATGGCATTCAGATAAAATTGGTACTAATCACACCACCACTAGTTTCATTTAAACATTATAATTACAAATGAAAAGACTATTTTCCCCATGAAAAATATAGTTTGCATGTTTTAATCCTAAGAGTAAATTTTATTTATGTACTCTGGGGCCACCTGTTTATAACTGTAAACTCCTTAATAAATTTGTACAAATTTGGGCAAACCCGTATTTCACCATGCTTGTTCTGAGTCCTATTCCATAGTGAACAGGTACCAATTTGGAAATGCTAAGCTACTGTTGTAATTATGGAATATTATTTTGCAGACTAGTGGCTCTTGTGGTCAGGATACTCTAATTAGTCTTCCATTACTGTTTCTTTCCTGCTGTAATGTGAAAACAAAGCTCAAATGAAAGAAGCATTGTTTATACTTGCCCTCTGGTAAAATATTAGTAAGAGAAGAAACAGTTTAGCATTTGAGGGAGATGTAGGACTACAGGCACTGTGACTTGTCCACCTTGGTTTGAAGTAAGTTCATTGTTCAAATGGAATACAGTATTTACTTTGTATCTGATCAGAAGATATGTTTTTGTTTGTAGGGATACACATTAATAGATTGCAATTTATGTTATGTATTTCTGTTTTGACTCCCTTTTGAGGCCCTGATTCAGGAAGATACTTTAAACACATTCCTTACTTTGAGTATGTGAGTAGGCTCATTGAATGGGACTACTCATGAGTTTAGACATGTGCATAAGTACCTTAATGAATCAGGGCCTGAGAAACTAGGACAAGGTAATACTGGTTTATTTAATAATTCCAAAATTATGCTCTTTATACATCGGGCCCTACCAAATTCACAGCCATGAAAAACACGCCACGGACTGTGAAATCTGGTCTTTTGTGTGCTTTTACCCTATACCAGGGGTCTGCAACCTTTTAGAAGTGGTGTGCCGAGTCGTCATTTATTCACTCTAATTTAAGGTTTCGTGTGCCAGTAATACATTTTAATGTTTTTAGAAGGTCTCTTTCTATAAGTCTGTTAATATATAACTAAACTATTGTTGTATGTAAAGTAAACAAGGTTTTTAAAATGTTTAAGAAGCTACATTTAAAATTAAATTTAAAATGCAGAGCCCCCCGGACCGGTGGCCAGAGCGGGGCAGTGTGAGTGCCACTGCAAATCAGCTCGCACACGTGCCATAGGTTGCCTACCCCTGCCCTATACTATACAGATTTCACGGGGGAGACCAGCATTTCTCAAACTGGGGGTCCTGACCCAAAAGGGAGTTGCAGGGGGTTCGCCAGGTTATTTTAGGGGGGTTGCGGTATTGCCACCCTTCTGCACTGCCTTCTGGGCTGGGAAGCCAGAGAGCGGCAGCTGTTGGCTGGGCATCCAGCTCTGAAGGCAGTGCTCCGCCAGCCACCCTTACTTCTGTGCTGCTGCCTTCAGAGGTGGGCAGCCAGAGAGTGGCAGCTGCTGGCTGAAGGCCCAGCTTTGCAGGCAGCAGTGCAGAAGTAGGGGTGGCAATACCATACCATGCCATGCTTACTTCTGCGCCACTGCTGGCGGCGGTTCTGCCTTCAGAACTTGGCTCCTGGCCAGCAGCCGCTGCTCTTCAACTGCCCAGCTCTGAAGGCAGTGCCACTAGTAACAGCAGCACAGAAGCAAGGGTAGCAGTACCGCAACCCCCTCTACAATAACCTTGAATCACCCCCCCCCCCCAACACACACA